TAGGGTTTAGGGCTTAGGGATGTAGATACATAGATCCACCAGGATGGGTGGATGAACGGCTTGATGGACAGATAGCAAGATGAAAAGAGATCGATGAATAGATGGATAGATATAGATAGACGGATGGACAGATAGTCATAGTCGGTCATAGTCGGTCAGGGTGTCAGGTAGATAGCTTGAATACACTGCCAGGGCTTATGGGCATACCGACCGGCGCATGCACGAAGCCTTTGAAACAAGACTGGCCCGAAGCGCTTCTATGCCTTGTTGCAATAACTGTCGCCGCTGCCAGTGCCACGAGCAGCAGTAACTATTGTCGGATGCTCTGCAACAGGCTGGGTGCCTTCCTGTGCGGGTTCATGCTCGTTTTTTGGCATACTCTTGGAAGTACGGCGATGATCAGCGAAGCCTTTGGTGAAGTCTATTTGCCCTTTCTGGCGCAAATCGTTGTCGTAGTGACCAGCCTATGCTTCTTCTTGTTGCTCCTTGGGTCCTTTTTCAGGAACGTAATTTGGGCAATTACGGTAAGGATAAGCCGTACGGGCATCAGGGGCTTCTTGCCGTGGAATCAAAAGTAAGTTCCCTGGCAAGCTCAAAGGCTTGAAACTGACCGTGTCAGCGACCGGATCACGAGGTTGGAGGCACTCCAGCTCAGTCGTGGCTTCGAAGGCACTATTACAAAAGCTGCATGTTCAGAGCCGGCGGACAAAGCGCGAATCTTCCAGGAGATTGGCGACAAAACCGATGCTGTGGACCATGCAATCTCTGTCCTGCTACTTGGTTGTTTTGGTGGAACATGCATTGCAAAACCATAACCAGGAAAGAACGTTATTTGAACAGCTTGTGCACTACATATCCCTACTCTGGTAATTCAGCTAACTCCATGACGAGAACCCAGGTTAACCGCCGGGATGTCATCGCCAACGCTTACCCAAGTAGCTCGCGCCGGCGTCGACATTCAGAGCGCGGGCCATGCCGAGATCGCACTTCCGTTTGCGGCCCTGATGACCGGCCTCTTTGCCTTGGCTAGAGTATGCTTTCAGATGGTGTACCTGTACAAGGTCTTTTTTTGCTTGGATCCAAATTCTCTGTGCGGGCGCTCGGCTTGCTCTCGTCTTCGTTCTGTGGATGAGCTCAAAAGATGAAAGATGCTTTATGTTGAAGATGATGGCAAAGCTTGTCGCCCTCGATCTTCTCATTCTCGGTCCTTGCATGGTTCTCTGGGAGGTGAAGCCTTCAGGAGGATCCCCGCACATCTTGTAATTTGCTGCACCGTTGGCTGTTCACACGATCATGCTTGCGCTTGCATGCCTCTTGGACGCACCCATTTGCGTGGCTACTTCGGTGCTGCCAGTAGGGGCTTGACATCCTTGACTTGTTGTCGCAGCAGGGATCCCAGCATCACCGAGGTCTTGGGATGCGCCGACTTGTTTCACTACGCTGCGGTCGCTGCTTGCTGCAAATCTTCCTTGCACGGGGCATCAGCTCTTTCGCTGGCATAGTCACCATTCGTCGCTCTCAGAAGGAGTCGGAGACAGAGAGCGACACAGAGACTTCCACAGAGTAAGCCAGGAGGCTTTGCCGCTGAGCAGTTCCATGAAATTGTGCAGGGCGTGCTGCCGAGCTCATGAAACTGGTGCTTGGATGCTTGAAGGCTCGAGTGAGGGGCCGCATCATCGCGAACAGCGCGAATTGGCTACAACCCGACGGCACACGACTGCGAGAACTCCCTGCAAGACCGTGTGATTCCGCTCGGCAGTCCGACTGTCACATCATCACACGAAGGGGATGGTAGTTCAACCTCCGCTTGGTAGACGAAGAAAAAAACGAGCAGGTGGACTTTTCCTAGAGTCATCCTGGAAACCTCACTAAACTTGGCGACTCGAACCATGGATGCAGGACACTCTGAGTGCAGACTTGCGAGAACAATGCCTGCCTCGCCTGCGCGCGCAGAGCTGGGTGTAAGATGATTGTCAAGAAGGCAACCTCCTTTTCCTGTAAGCGTCTGTTCTCGTATCGGGCAGGGGGGCTTGCCATGGTATTCAGGGTTTTTCGAAGCACGCTATGAAATAGGTACTGCGTACTTACTCTTACTTGTACCTCACATGCCCAGGCGGCCCAATACTCCCTTGAAGCGGAAGCATTCCACAAATTGTAGAAGAATTTTGCATGTGATTAAACATGCATAAAATGCTTAGTTATGGAGGGGGGTGACTCTCCCCGTTTGCCCTCCGTTTGCCCTCCCGGCTGCAAACTTAGCAAAAAGCTCCATCACCTCGATTTCTAGAAGAGGCTTTTGGGCGAAAATGCCTTGAATACTAGGATCCCTATCACGTCAGAAGTGATAAACAGTGTACTGACCCTAAAAGGCCCCTTAAGGGAATCCTTACAAGAACCTGCGAAGTCCCCGTCTCTTGAGACCGATTTGCAAACTAATATAGGGGCCTTAATATCTCGAACAGGGTTTGGGGGGGGGGGGTATGTTATACTGTAATTATAAGAAGGAGCCCCCGAAACCCTGTTCTAATTATCAAGGCCCCTACATTATTGCAGGGGGCTTGAGGACAGGGCTTCGAGATTTAGGGTTAAGGGTGTCAGACTGAAGTTTGGTGGTATATCGTAGTAAAGATCTGTCCAGGGAGAAACCAGTGGATAGTCTTACTACTACTTCTTCTATTACTATTAAATTATTAATACTATTGCTACTATTTATGGTTATTACCAGTAAAAATACTATTGCTGCTAACACTACTGCTACTACTTCTACTACTGCTGCTACTACTGCTGCT